AACTAGGAAAGAAAAACAGTTGATCTCATTTTGTTTTCTAAAGATTAATTTCAAAATAACAAAATGAACCATATCAATTAATCAAGATAATAGAATTATAAAGTTTTTTATACAATACAATCAACGATTAATTATCTATCTGATAGGAGGAAAAAAAACCAACTGCAGACGAATATTATTTTTTTTTGCGATTGATAATTCATACACATAGCTAATGAAAAAGATATGACATTAATGTTAATACTTATATTAGTAAGAAAAAATAATACGAAGTATTATGAGATAAACAGTTCATTTTTATAAATATTTGAAGTTTTTCTTTTAGTTTTAACGATGATTATGCAAGTGAAAGATTGAAATGATGATATTGATCAATTTTATTCAAGAGAATAAGCATGTTTTATAAAACAATTAATTAAATGTCGAGTAAAAAATGAAGTCATGTTTTAACTTAATAACCTTTCAAAAAATATTTTTCTTGTTCTAAATAACAAGCGTAAAATTGTACATTAATAATTCTTACCGTTGTAGTCATTCTTTTTAACACAAATTAAACTTTATAATTAAAAAATGTATGTTATGATGATTGTTATGTCTGTTGTTGTTGTTATTATTGTAATGGCTGTTATTATGGCTGAAAATGAGGAGAAAGATATAGGATTTATAATATACAAATTGGGTAATGGCATTTTGATGGAGGATGGTATATGTGGGTATAAAAAGAGTATGAGTACGTGTCTGACCGTGAATAACATAGAACAAAGGGAACGAACAGTAATTTATAACAAGAATCTTTGATATGTATATCTTATTAGACAAACACATTGATATCTATTGAATCGAAGAGAAAAATTTTGATAACAACGAACATAAGAAAAATTTTTATTTTCTATATTTAATATTAAGAATGGTAAATTCTCGTTTTGTCGAAAAATGAAGTAGTAATGAAAAAAAAGCAGAATCAAAGCAATTAGCTTAATTGATTCGATTGTCTTAAACACTTTTGTTTTTCTAAAGAAAGTAATCGAAAGAGTGTAGGTATTCCGTTCACTCAAATCCACAGCCATACCAGTGTTTTATCCAGGATTTTTTTCTCCGGAGGGGCGATTTGAAATTTCGGGGGGGGGGGGGGGGGGAAAATTTTTTTGGGGGGGGGGGGCCAGGTGTTTATAGTACGATGATTAAGGGTTGGGGGGGGGGGAATTGGGTTTCGGGGGGCCGCCCCCCCCCCCCCCTGGGCACCCCTCTGGATAAAACACTGAGCCATACATACACTAAACAACAAACATTAACATTAGAAGAATATCTTAAAAAAGTTATGCGATTAATTGGTGTAAAAAAAATATTGATTCTTTTTTTTGTTTTTCTACACAAATCTAATCAAACAGATTTATCTACTCTCCTTCTATTCATTATGTTTTATTTTTCAACAGAACGCTAAAACTCATAATTTTATTTTCGATGAAACAGGAGTACAAAGAAAAAAAGAACTCGACGAAACAAAAAAAAGCAATTAAAACTTTCGACGAAACGAGACCATACCATTAAAAATATATCAACAATTGTTTTTTAATTTTTACAGAATAAAAATAAATATACATTGTTCTAAGGAGATATTCTATTTAAAATATAAATAAAATTTTTGTATATTGTGTTTCTTGCATGAAAATCGATTGAATCAAAAAAAAGAAATTAATTGTTTTTGATAGACTTTTGTTTTTTATTCTAGGTAAAATTTTCAGATAACTTGTTCGATATTGTATGATATATGAATAATGTCCAGAGCTTCGTTTGTTTATAGTAGTTAGCAGAGCTAAAAATTTGATAGATAGTATGTCTGGAAAGAAGTGACTGAGGAGAGTTGCCTACTAAAGCTTAGCAGATAGTTTTTCGACAATATCTCAAAATTTTTGCAGACGTGACATAAAAAGTGGAAGATAGGACTACTCCACTCAGGCCCGTAGCCAGGAGGGTGCTCGGGCACCCCCTTGGCCAAAAAATACCTGGAGGGGGGGGGGTACAGGCGAAAAACGTTTTTGTGAAGCGAAAAATTATTTTCCCGCTGGTGGGCACCCCCTTAACAAGTCCGGCACCCCCCTTGGGAAATTCCTGGCTACGGGCCTGACTCCACTCCATCATCTTCTAATTTGCGACCTATGATAGAGTCATCAGATTATTCTTTCGCATTCTTTGTTTTGCTATTCGAGTACTTTTTTTTTACGATGGATGTTATTATGATTTCAAAAGATACCAGAACTATAAAACTGAAAGATGAAGAAGGTCAAAATCGTTTTCTCTTGTACTTTATTATTCATGTTGAAATGAATAATATATTCGATACGCCTCTATAATTGATTTCTCTCTCACGATATAAGAATATTTCTTTTAATTACTCATGATGCGTCAAGGTGTAGGAGTATGTTGTCTTTTTTTGTCTCTTTTATTTTTCTTGTTGTTGTATGATGTCATGTAATTTTGTGACGTCTCTTTCAAAGACTATCATTTCCGTTGTATAATTTCTATTATTATATTTATGAAGAATTTAGTCACAAAGCCGAGTTTTTTTCTCGGGTAACATGTACGAACTTTATTTTTACTTCCTTTTTTTCGTTTTTCTTGTACTTCGTTAAGGTAAAATCAAGATAAATAATATGATTGTATATATATATTGTCAATATTTGTCACTTCTGGTTTTTATTTATATATGTTTTTCTACGTTGCATTGAAGAAATAAATCTGGTATGTAGATTGAATAGAATCCTATGGTGCTGAGATAATATATATGTAAGGTTTTGGTTTTAATTTCTTTTCAATATAGTAGTGACATCAATTTTTGAAATAAGGCTTGATTAAATATAAAGGTATATTAATAGGTTAAATTAAATCTGACTATCTAGTGACAAGAAACACTTAAATATCTATAAAAATGTATGTTTGACAATGAATCTAAAGTAATTCAAAATTTTTCAGATCAATTGTTTTTTATTTATTATCAATTCATATCTAAGTTACTTATTATTTATTTTGTAGTTATTTTTTGAATAAACTATCAAGTATAATTGAGTTCTGTTAATCAGTAACAAGAAATATTTGTTTTATTTTAGATATGAAGTTTTTATGTATCAATCGTCTTATTGTGTCTTTCAATATTTTGACTTGTCTATTGTTTTTCACACAATGTAATACTATTAGTGGATCTAAATCGGTAAATTTTCTATGAAAGATCTATTAGAAAATTTTATTTGATACGATTTCTAGTGTTTATTACCCAATGTTTCTTTTACAATTGGTTCATCTTCTGATGCAAATATTGTAGTAAAATCAAAATCGTTTACTAGAACTGACTTAATTAATAAATGTCATGAAGATTTTATTGAAAAAATTTTTGATCAACCTTGTCACAATTCATCATTATTGTCTACTAGACGCACAACTGTGACCACAGCTGAAAGTATGTCTAACAGATAATCGAAGTTTTCTCATTTCTTAACTTTTTTTTTAAATTTCAGGCTACGGCTATGGACTTTTAGCTGTATTTATCATATCGATTTTATCAGTTGGTGGTTTACTTGCTTTTCCTATTTTATATAGTGTATCTTTTAAAGATATGCTTAAATTATTTACTGCTTTGGCTGTTGGAACACTTTTTGGTGATACAATGTTTCATCTAATTCCTTTCGTCAGTATATTTTAAAATCAAAACTATTCTCTATAAATTAAGAAACTTTTTTAAATATGAATAGGCATTTGGTCTTCATAATCATAGTGAACATGATGAACATGTACATTCATTCTTTTCCGTACCTGAGTATTTATGGAAGATGTTAGTGAGCGTATTAGGTATGTATATCAATAAAACAATATTTCTCTAAATTTATTAATTCCTTTATAGTTCTTTATGTTTTTTATTTATTGGAATTTTTTCTTCACGCATGTGCACATTCTAAACATAAGCATTCGGTATGTTAGATAAATATAATTTTTTTTTGTTTTTTTTTATTTTATAAAATACTTTCTTTTAGAATGTAGTTAGCGATAGTCATACAATGTCTCATCCTGAACTTGCACATGTGAATGTAGAAATTTGTGAGTCTACACCAATGAATATTTATATTGAGTTAGAAAATGGTGATCAATTACATACACATATTCATCATAATTCTGATCAAAATGAATCAAATGAAACCAATACAAAAGTAATAGAAAGTCAAATAAATGATACTAATAGTGAAAATAATAAGAACAATCATTTAGTATGTTTTCCAAGCAAGCATTCATATGAACTTTTACCACATTCATTATTTTCATAGGTTTTAGAAAAATCTTCATCAGAAACTAATCAACATACGTCAGGTTCTACTGTTGTTACTGGTTTAAAAGATAAAAATAAAATGAAGAATACCAATCCATTTATTCAAAAATTTACAAGTAAAGATATGATATATTTCAGTGAAATGAAAAGATTTTAATATATTGTTTTAATTTTTGCTCATTTCAGAAATTGATTCAACTGGCTGGATGGTATTAATTGGTGATGGCATCCATAATTTTGCTGATGGTCTTGCCATGGGTGCAGCATTTACTCAAGATATTCTTTTAGGTGTAACAACAACATTTGCTATTGCCTTACATGAATTACCACATGAATTTGGTAAGTAAAATCTTAAATCATTGTTGAAATACAATATCGATATATTAATCAGGTGATTACGCTATTTTAATTCAATCTGGTTTTTCACATTCTCGAGCTATTTTTTGTAATTTTCTTTCTGCATTGAGTGCTTTTATTGGATTTTTTGTTGGTGCAACATTATCAAGTGATGAACATATTCGTCAATGGATATTTGCAGTTACTATTGGCATGTTTATTTATATTGCACTTGTTGATCTTGTATGTTTTCTTCTAAGAAAAAAAAAACAAGGAAATTTTCTTTTTATTTTAGTTACCAGGTTTATTATGTCACGATCAAACTAATTTAAAACGTTTTATGATTGTGAATGTTGGAATTTTAGTTGGTATTACAGTTATGTTTTTATTAGCTGTATTTGAAGATACTTTAATTCGATCATCAACATAGTGTTATTATTTTTGTTTATCGTTACCACTTTTTTTTCTCATCATCATCTATTTATCTCAATAATATTAGGGATGAAGCGGTTTATCGATGGATTGATATACATAACACTTGTGATAACCATCACCGTTGCATTCCTAGATAGTATTCTGTTCCATTGCTTTTATTCTTATTTTTATTTTTTTTTATTTTATTCCAAAAACTAGTGATGATAGTAATGCATTTTCTACTCTTGATCTATTCTACCATTGTATATAGTTATAATTATTTTATAATAAAAAGAAAATTGTGGGCTATTTTAATATAATTTATTGTTGTGTACAAAAACACAAAAAGAAAAAAATAAGTTACAGGAAAAAAAAATGCAAAAATTATTTTAGAAATTATGTGTTCAGAGTAGCTTGAACTCTAATACAAGCAAGATGACCTTCACTTGAACCAATATCACCAGTTATTCGAAATGTACCTGATATTATAGATGGTAATGTTG